AAAATATGAGGTTTGACTTGGACATGGTGTAAGAATAAGGCTGTGATGAATAGTCTAAAGTAGAGTAAGTCGTTTGAAAAAATTGGGCAACAAAATTATCGGTAAATCTTGACCGAGCACTTAAATATCTAGTAAAAACAGATTGAGAACCGGTATTTTTATATTTCCTAAAAAGTCTGGACTTTACATTTCTTAAGTGTGTCAACTCTTTGCTAAACCAAGGTGATTTATTGGAAGTTGACGGATAGTACCACGGAACACAGGAATTAAAAAATGAGTTTATTGCAGTGTAAAAAACATTAACTGCGTCGGACATATTATTGCATAAGTAAAGATCAGACCAATTAAAGCCAGAAATAAAATTATTTATCCTCAGAAAGTCTGCCTTGCGAAAACAATGTATTCGTTTTGATTTTTCTGATTTTTCTTCTATAACTCTACCCGTATCAAATGAAAGTTCGATTGTTGGATGATATGGATCTTCAGGTTGCGTGAGTGGTGCTACTCTGGACAGAAACACACCTTCAGGATTTGATACAAAACACAAATCAAGTAGGCGACCTAATGAATTTCGAACATGGTTTACTTGAGATAGAGATATGTCAAGCAGGTCATCAATAAAATCATTCTGTGCTATAGGTAGTAAGACATTAGATCCGTCCTCAGTGGACCAAGTAACTCCAGGTATATTCAAATCACCTAGAACTATTAACTGATCCCTATCGGAAAGCTTATTTGCAACGGACTTAATAACGGATAGGTGATTTAAATAATCAGGAAGTTCAGACAACGGCGGAATATATGAGCAAGTTATGTATATAAAGTTACCAGGAAGCGATAACTTTACACAAAAAAAAACAATGGTATTGAATTCATCAAAAAATAACTCCTCAGACGGGAAGTTTGAATCAACTCCAATTAAGACTCCACCTCCCCGTCTAGAGGGACGGTCATACCTATATATTGTGTACTTACCCGGAAAAACTTCGGAGCTAAAGATCTCCGGCTTTAACCAGGTTTCTGTGAACACAATAATATGAGATGCAAAGGAAAGGCTATCGGAATACAATTTAGTGAGTTTGCTACGCAAACCTCTTGCATTCTGATAGGAAAGAAGGAGGTTAGAAGTTAGTTTTTTGAAATTGGTACAGTGGTTTGGCCTCGACTAGGAAGTTTTACTCCAACGGGCCCCTTCTTCTTTATCTTAGCCTCGAACTCTTTTACAACCATATTATCCGGCCAAAAGTCGCCCGAGCATATGGCTTCAAAAAGCTCGTTAGGGACAGTTATCTTGAAAGATGAAATGTCTCTAGCATAAGAAAACTTAAACTTTTCCACCTTTACACTATTACAATCGGCTTTAGTTTTGTCTTGCATATAAGACAATACATCAGAAGATGTTTGATCAGGGGAAAGCCGAGAAACGAAAATTAGTTTCTTTAGTGGAACCACTGAAAGGGATTTTGGTGGAGCAGACATTGTTTCTGGAAAACCAACTTAAGCCGGTTGTCCGGACTCAGTAGTCACTTGTGGTGGTGATGCTACACTAATTGCGAAACCACTACGGACAAATCGGAATTCTTAGAAGTCCCTGGTTGCATGCATTCTGTAACGGATTGTTCGGATACCGAATCTTTTTTAGCTGCTGATCTTAGCAACATTTGAGGGTTTGCTGAAATCAGCTGCTGATCCGCCGGAATGCTCTGTTGTTCTTTTGATTTCGGTTGCGGGATGTTCCCCTTTTGCTCCTTACCACAAGCGGCCTTTTTGCGCTTATGGGACTCTTCGAATAACTTACGACTATTAAACTGTGAGTCCAGCGCAGAGAGGAGATCTTCAGCTCGGCGAAAACTATCTCTAGCAACTTCGAAACAGCTAATCAGCCTCATCAGGCCGCCTTTAGTTTGCCGCATGAACGATTTCATCTCGTTGGCAACCTCGACACAAGCGTCACAACAAAACTGCAAATTGGGCCCCTTTGAAAATTCATCACTTGTCCGGCCAGTAAAACCAGCGAACTTGGTGTGCACCATATTTTCACACAGCCAGCAAGTCATATTAGACTGGTCAGCCCTGATTACGAGGCTGCATTTTTTGCAGAAGCAGACTAAATTTTTATTATTCATTTTATTTATTGGGACCACTGTACCAAGAAAGCGAATTGAAATTTATAAGCGATCAGTTATAAGTACCGCAAGAGCGCAGAAACTGCACGCTTAGAACTTTCAAAGCAAAGAGAGCAAGAGAGAGGGAGCGTAAATAAGTTAAAGTGCATGCACAAAAGAGAAACGGCGGGGATATAAATAGGATAGAAAACACAGATAAAAATTACGAAAACTAAAACAATTTATTAGTATTAATACAAAGTGCACTCGCGAAGCGAACGGAGTTTAAATTTATGTTTAAATAACCGTAGGAAAATTTAATGTTGTTTTTATAAAACCCACCGATGGGAATAAACGAAAACAAAATACAAAATTCGAAGCGCAGAAAAAAAACACGACCGTTCACTTTGAAAGTCAAAGACGAATGTGTCCATACTCCTGACAGTTTCTTTTATGTGGCTCTTCCACCTTAATTCCTCTTCCTGCACTTAATTTTATAAAAACTCTTCTGCCTGGCTCCAGCTCTACCTTGTAGAGTGGTTGCGGCTTTTTGTTCCTATTAATGATGTTACTAACGTTCTTTTCAGAAAAATCGTTTTCTTTGAGGGCATCGATAACTTCATTGGGGGTTACGTCGGGCTCGATTCCTTTTAGTACAACTTGCAAGCCCTTTCTGCTTTTTAGTTGGTACGTGTAGCAGTTTTTCTTAGCTTGCTCCAGGTATTTGGACACAACTCGGAAATGTTCTTCGGATTTGGTCTGAAGTTTGGTTTCGTGAATATTTCCTTTAGTGATCGGAACAACACGAAAATTTCTATCCCCGATCAACGCAACCATTTTGTTGACCAGGGCGTTCGAGCTTTTCTCCCTAATGTAAATTGGTGGGGGCTTTGGTTTCGCTTGGGTCTCTTGACCCAGTTCTGGTTGATTTTCAGCTAAGAGGGCAAATCTCTAGTTGTTGGACCTCCCCGGTATATCGATGTCTCTTTGGACATGGTTTATTTTTGGCTTATTATCCGCCACGGCGTTCTGCGGGCTAAGCTTATGCTTTATTGGGATGTAGCGATCCATGCCAGTCTGTATGGCCGGGCCCTTGTTGAATATTGTTTTGGTATTGTTTTGCTGTCATATTTTTAGTTGGCGCTGCAGTCGACATCGGAGTCGAATCCGCGACAAAAGCTGTTGCTGTGTGAGTTGTTGGTTTTGCTGCTGTTGCTGTAGTTGTTGCTGTTACTTTTGGTGCGATTGCAGAAGTTTTACCGCTGCGCCAAGGGTCGAATCTGATGGTGGGGGGTTTTACATTGAGAACCCCACGCCGTTGGAGTAGGAGTAAGAGTGGGTAGAGTGGGTGAGCAAGATCGTAATCTTTGGGTATCGACTGTCAGTAGAGGCGGGTTGCTCTTTGTAGACGTTTTGTGCACTTCGCTATCTCGCGTAGAGATATACGAGATGTACCCGTCTCTTCGGCTTACGGAGCTTATCCGCTCTTTATTTGGTTAATCGGTTATTGGACTCTTAGCGTGGCAATATTTTAAAGTAATTTGCACTTGTTTTAATCATATCACTGATTTTATTTTGATTTGAAGCCCGACTTCTTCATCAATGAAAGAACGTGGGCTTTTAAAAAAATTCTGACCATGTCACTATAAACTTTACTGGCTTAGGTCTGCGAAGTACCGCGCTCTGGTCACAATATCGTCTGGGCTTATTTTGATAGAGTCAAATTTACACTAATTTTAAATCTCTAAAATCTTCTGTTTTAGGGTTACTGCTTTGTGACAAATGTCATCCAGGGACTTGTGTGCAAAGAAAGCTAATGAAGCACAATTTTGGGACCAAAAAACGTAATCCATTGGCCTCTGCCACTAACCATATAACATATAGACTGGTCATTTCATACAACGAAAATGGACACAAAAATATTTTTATGCCTTCGGGTTTTTTTCGCTCTCATTCTTATTCTCATTTTGACGCTCGCGCGCTCATTGCACGAGTTCGGTCGTTCAATCGCAGAGACGCGCATTTTGAAGAAGGTTGCCCTCCGCTTGAATTGGGCTTTGTATGTATGCGTGTTTATGCATTCTCATACAGGGGTGCATGTTTGCGATCATTTCATTTCGATGCAGCAAGAATATTTTGTCTTTTGCTACTTTTTAGACTTGGTACCCTAACAATATATGCGTATTCACTATTGGGTTAATGATAAAAATTAGAATATTATATGTTATAGTATATTTTTTAATATTTCAGCATAAATTTAATATTGGTTTACAAATTCATATCAGTGGTAGTGTATGTATTCCAATTAATAGAAATCAATCTACTGACATACGAACAGGGCATATCGCATATTTTAAGTGGTGCAGAAAACTTTAAACCAAATCAGCTTTGGTTGTTGTTCTGCGAGCGGATGGTGCCTGCATACCCTACCGACGATTGAATTTTAGGGGTGGGGACAGAAACAAGAACGGCTGTTTGGCTTTTGTTTTGTTTACATTTTTTAGGACACTTGTTTTAAATGTTATGTTTAATGACCTTTGGTTGATTTATTTTTTTAAGGTTCGCAGTGTAATATTGTTTAATGTTGTTATTTAATGATCTACCTTTATTATACCCGTTACTCGTAGAGTAAAAGGGTATATTGTATTCGTGCAAAAGTATGTAACAGGTAGAAGGAAGCGTTTCCGACCCTATAAAGCATATATATTGTTATGGAACTGCATATTGTTCTCCCTGGGACGGCCCCGGCTAGCTCCGGAATCCTCAGGGCGGAGTTCCCCCAATGTCCCTAGAGCCCCACAACATTAAATATCGATTACTATCGACGTCTCACACTACAAATACTAACATCTCTAACAAAAAAAAAAAGGTAAACAAGACAAAATAAACAAACCGGGACAAATATGACGGAAAAGTGGCATTGGATGTGGCTGCCACAGCGCACCCACCCTTCCTGTGGTGCCCCTAGCGTCGCGAGGGAGGCACCACCCATGTTCCAAGGCCGGAGCCACTGCCAGGCCAGACTACGACCGGTTCATCTCCCCGCTGGAAATTGCCTTAGGCCCACATCATCTTCATCTCCATTCTAAGTAAATTTATTTATAAATATATACATAAGGTTTCCAAATATAAACGTTAAGTATATCCTCTCCTCTTTATACCATTTCTTACAGGTCAGGGCAAAACCACTACCCGGCCTGGACTGCACCAGCTGCAAGGCCTTCTTAAAAACGGAAATTTGGCCCCGCAGAACTTTTAAGCCAAGTGGCTGTCATTCATCAAACACCTCTTTTCTTTCCTAATTACCCTGCTGGAGCTCCAAGAGGACACAAAAGGGACAGGTAAATATAAATAAATAAATTGTATTGAGTTCTGCTAAGCCCGCTTTCGCAATTTCAGACCCCGAGTTAGCGCAAGGCCAGACTCAAGCTCGCGGAATCACGAAGACGTGCAGAAACGGACAAGGGCGAGTACACAAATTTACAAATACAAAAATGAATCTTAAAATCTAATTACAGGCGCGGCGAGTAAGCCGGCTGCGGGTCGCCGAAGGACGACTTGGGACCCTTATAAAGGGCGGTCCGGAAACCGGTATTACGCCCTGCCTCGGCCACTGCAGACCGTGACGTCGGAGATGCTGCGTTGTATGGGAGTCGCGTCGTGTTCGATACGTTGTGCCGCTCGGGTTCTACGTGCCCGGAACGGACTCACCGAGGTAATGTAGATAAGCTCAACTGCCTGCGACGGTGTTGGTTGGTGTTGATGGCTATGGCTGTGGCTGCTGCCTGTGGCTGTCGCTGCTGCCTGCGGCTGTCGCTGCTGCCGGTGGCTGTTGCTGCTGCCGGTGGCTGTTGCTGCGGCCGGTGGCTGTTGCTGCTGCCGGTGGCTGTTGCTGCTGCCGGTGGCTGTTGCTGCTGAGCACTACCACGAGGGCTGCTGCCCTTTCTCCGAGAATATTGTGAAAAAACGAAGAAAATCACAGAAACTGCCGGGGCCCTATGTACTAGGGTCCCCGGTGGACCTAAAATAAATAAATTTCCACTTAATTTTCTAACTTTACTCGCACTAATCGCACTCTCACTTTTTCTTGGCCTATTCTAAGCTAAGAAATATAAAAATCCCGTCGACATGGCTTCGATGTCTGGCAGCAACTAAAACCTATCCCTGACCTACGCAATGTCATGCTGATCACGCCATGTTCCCTTTCCCTCTCCCAAAAGTGGGTCATTGGACGAATCCAAGGCCATTCTAGCCATACCCAGAGCGAACCGGGCTATTTTAAATAGCTAGATAGCCAAGACATCAGCAGAAGGGGGCGCCACTCCAGTAGGGGTTGCCACCCTCCTACTTTATCGATAACCCTACCAAACGAATACCTCCTTCTTAATTCTTCCAGCCGATTCCAACTTGAAATGCAACACCACCCAAGGATTTAGAGGGACGCCTTCGAACCATGGCCACTCGACGAAATCATTGGGAGCATTGGAGATCGGTGTCTGGCGAAATCCGAATGCAGTTCCAAACGGTGCCCACGCTTACCAGTAAGTACTACCTCTGTTTTTTTGTTGTGCTCCTTCAATTTATGCCGCCTTTTTTCAGGTTATACCCGGATATCCTTGGCGTGGTAAACTCCGAGGTGGCATCCTTGCAGGTCTTCCAACTCATAGGCATTGCTACCAACGGCTTTCACCACTCGAGCCTTAAGGAATTTCCAGCAAACTTAGCGTTGAACGACTTGCCAAAATCACTAAGAACGAAGTTTCGGTGGTATACCTCTTGACCTGGCTTGGCCATGAAGTTTCGAGCCCGTTGGTCATATCGCTTGCGGCTTCGGTCATAGGCTGTCTCCAGATTCTTCCAGACCTTTTCCTGGATCACTCGGAGTTTGTCCGCCGTCGTCATCCCCGCCATCTCGTGGTCACACAAGGACTGTAGCTTCCTCGCTAACCTATAGTTGGCGCCGTTCAGGAACATATGATGTCTGAACACCGTAAAGAAAGGCGCTTCTCCTATCGCCGAGTGGATCGCGTTTCGAAGGGCTACCTCAATCTCAGGAAGGTACACGTCCCAGTCTCGATGGTCACCATCTAAAAAGCTCCGGATTGCGGCCAACACGTTTCGATTTACTCGTTCTGCGGCGTTGCTCTGTGGGGAGTATACCGGAGTTTTTAGATGTGAGATACCGAAACTCTCCATCGCCTCCTGGAAGATCTTCGACGTGAACTGCGGACCATTGTCTGAGTGTATTACCTCCGGGACGCCAAATTTATAAAACACATCGTGGATGAGGAAATCGACGACGTTCGAGGAGGTAGCTTCCTTCATGGCCTTCAAGAATACGAATTTAGAGAAATGGTCCACCACGATAAAAATCCAGGCATGACCCTTCTTTGACCTCGGATATTTCCCCAAGAAGTCGATATACAGCTTCTGAAATGGCTGTTTCGTCTGGACTCTTTCCCCAATACCGACCTGCATCCAGAAATTTGGCGCTTTGGACTCCTTGCAGACATCACATCCACGCACAAACTCGCGGACTTGGAGAACCATGCCTGGCCAGTAGAACTGCCGTCGGAGTATTTCCAGAGTCTTTCCCATTCCGCCATGAGCTGCTATTGGGTCCGTATGTGCACGCTCAATTAGGCTGTGGGTTAGACTCTGTGGGATCCACAGTTTCCACTCTGAGCCTTCCACCTCGTTGTCCAAATTTGATGAAGAGACTCTCTTGAAGATGAGACCATCCTCGATCTTCAAGTCCGGTAAGTTTTCCAAGTTGTCTTCCACATCTTTCACTAACTCGAGATAACCTTCTCCAGCGAACTCGGTGGTTTCGAAACCCAACAAATCCGTCGGATTCACTACGAGCTCCTCCACACATCGTGAAAGGGTGTCTGCCACGACGTTCTCGCTTCCTTTTCGGTGCTCTATGTTGAAGTGGAACCCTTGAAGCTGCAGCGACCACCTCGCCAAACGTCCCGTCAGATCCTTTATGGACATGAGCCACTTCAAGCTGGCATGATCCGTGATGCAGGTGAATGGCATCCCTTCGACATATGGCCGGAACTTCCGGATGGCCATGAGCGCCGCGAGACACTCTTTCTCGGTCACGGTGTAATTTACCTGATGTTTATTCATCTTGGCCGAGAAAAATGCAATTGGCTGCTCTTGTCCGTCGTCGTCTCGCTGGAAAAGCACCGCCCCGACTCCGACGTGTGACGCATCGCACTGGATAAAGAACCGTCTCTTGAAGTCCGCATGCACCAGGACTGGTGCAGTCGTTAAAGCCATCTTCAAAGCTTCTACCGCAAGCTGAGCCTCTGGACTCAAGGAAAACTTAGGATTTCCAGTTTTCTTCAGCGATTCAGTGAGCGGGGCGGCCAACGTCGCAAAGTTCTTTATGAACCGGCGGTACCATCCAGCAGTCCCCTCTCACCTCCTTCATCGTCCTAAGCTCTGGCATCCTCCTGATCGCTGCTACTCGTCCCGGATCCATTCGTAGACGACCTCCACCAACGATAAAGCCCAGGTAGGTCAATGATTTGAAGCAAAACTTTGACTTACCCATACCTATCGTTAACACCGCTGCTTTCAGGCATTCCGCGACTCTCCGAAGGTACTTGAAGTGGGTCTGGATATCTGGAGCCAGTATCAGCAGATCATCGAGGTAGACAAAAACGTTGGAGCGGATCTCAGCTGGGATCACTCGGTCCATAAGTCTTACCAACCGCTGCGCCGCGTTGCAAAGTCCGAAGGGCATCACCCGGAACTGGTAGAGAGGCCGACCAGGAACCGTAAATGCCGTCAGTTCCTTGCTCTTCGGGTCCAACTCGATCTGCCAGAATGCGAACTTCAAATCCACGCTGGAAATGTAAAACGTTTGGTCGATTCTGGACAGGATTCCGTCGATACTCGGCAGCGGGTAAGCGTCTTTGACGGTCAGATCGTTTTGCGGGCGTCTAAGCAGAACCGATCTTTCCCAGGTCTCGACACTACCGTCGTCCGGTTGCTCCACGGGCTCATGCTATCCTCGATGACTCCGAGCGCCAGCATCTTGTCCACCTCATCCTCGACTACCTTCTGCTTGGCTGGAGACATGGGATACGGCCGATCCTTGAAGACCTTGGCTCCCTCAATCAGCTCGATCGTGTGCCTTTCTAGATTGGTCGTTCCCAGACCATCCTTCTCAAATGTGAGAAACACCTCCTGGATCTCAGCGAGCTGTCGTGCGTCGGCCTCAGATAACGTCCAGGATTCGGGATCCGGTTTCTCCTCGTCGTCATCTTCCTGTTCGGCGTATTGCTCCATATCCCTAGCATGGATTTCGTCTGCCTTGACGCTTTCCGGGTCGCTGGGGCCTATCACCGCTGGAGCCAAGCCAAACGCCTGCCAGAAGTCCACTCCGAAATAGGCTTCCTGCTCCAGGTATGGACATACATAGAACAGGATCCGCTTTATCTGTCCTCTGTACTCCACAGGTTGCTCGACGCGTCCTATAATCGTGCGGTCCTCTCCAGACGCCGTTCGGACCACGGACAGGTACTTCTGGATTGGTACATCCAACGCCTCGACGAGCTCTCTTCCACCTTTGCCCAGCAGGCTGACACTAGCTCCCGTGTCCAATAAGCCAGTCAGCTGTTGGGTCAGGATCCGGACTTCAGCGAATGGTCGAGGGTCTCCCGTTCCACTGCGCTTCACAGCGGCAACCACTTCTCGCCTCCTCGCTCGTCTCTTACGGAATCGATCCCTGGCCTTCTGGACTTTCCTAGACACCGTTCGCATGCCGGCTAACTGGTGCTCGGAGAAAATTCGGTTCCTGGTCTCCAGGTAGCTGCGCATCCTCTCCTCATAAGGTAAGTATTTTAAACTGTGCTTATTTCTACTCGTACAAACTAAACCTTTTTTACATTCTAGAACATTTACTGCATCGCGGGACTCTTGTCTGGACGCATCCTTCCCGCCCTCGGATCGCCCAGCCGACCGTTTTCCGCGCAATCCGGACATCTCGGAGACACAGTGTCTGGCCTTCCGCATCGGTAGCAGAACAGGCGCCGTTCTGTTGCCGCGCAGTCACGGAACCGGTGGTCTACGGCTCCGCAATTCCAGCAACCCCCTCGGAACGGATTTCGGGTCTTCGCTTGCAACGCCTCCACCTGCCACTGGGAATCCTCTGCAGTGTCGGGACCAGCTGCCTCGCTAACCCTGGCCTTCTCCGCCGGAGGATAACGCATCGGGTGCGCATAGGCCGCGCGTCCTCGTCGTCCAAAATTGCGCTCCACCTCGCAGCACTCTTCCCTCAACTCGTCCACAGTCATCACATCCATTGCGTAAACAAATCTTGCAATACCCTCTCTCAAGCCCTTTTTAATTATTTTTACCATCTGTCGCTCTGACAGTGGTTTTTTTAGGCGAGAAGCTAGCTGCTGCATCGCATGGACATAGTCCTCCACGGCTTCTCCCGGCTGCTGCTCCTCTGCAGAAGCTGATGCATCCGGTCGTGCTCCGTCTGGTGGCCTCGGAACCTGTCCATCAGCGCGGCACGCAGCTGTGGCCATCTCTCCAGTGACGCACGTGGACCCAATACCACTCGCGTGCCCGTCCGGTTAGCAGCACATGGAAATGGCGGAGCACCTTCTGCCAAGGGCACTGGTACTGCCGCTGCAGGAACTCGAGCCGAAACAGGAAATCCTCCACCGAGTTTCGCTCGTCCTCGCCATCAAAAGAAACGCCCCACCGCTCGATGCGAACCTGTTGGCTGCCGCCACCTAGCCCCAATTTCGAGGCTCGTTGCGTCGCCCTCGTTCGCCATCCAGAGGATATCCTGGACTGCTGCTCTCCACCGGAAACGACTCCAAGGGCCTTCTAGGCGGCTTTGGTGGAACCTTTGGTGGCGGTGGACGGGAGCCAATCGTACTTGCTGATGGTGCCGTCTTTGGAATTGCCCCTTTCTGAACCAGACTTGGAGCCTGTGGTGCCGCCGCGTCCGTCCAACCTGGATGTGGCTGCTGATCGGTATGGTTCCCCTGTGGAAGCTGCGGCCGCTGAGCAGCAGGCCTTAACACCTCGTTCATCAGCTTCATCATTTCCAGGAACCCACCTCGGATTTCATCCCTTAAGGACTGGCTGACGTCGGACTCCTGAGCCTTTCGATGGGTCTCTGCAGCCTGGGCCAATGCCACGTTTACGGCCGATTTCGCCGCGTTGTCCAGAAACGCCTCCGAGCTCACTTGCTCCAGAACTTGATGTTGTGTGGGATCTGTTCCCATCTGAAGTTCCCAGCGCAGCTCCTGATGAAGACGACCCAACGGAGTCCTTGGCAGTCCCATCGATATCCGTGGCTGTTCGGCCCCGGCAACCTCATCTAAATCGGTGGACCACAATTTCTCCTCTTCCTCGGCCGGAAGAACCTTCGATCGGAGATCGTAATTGGAAGGCATCGTACAGCGCAACAAAATAAAAATATGTATTTTTCCCTAAAAATTCTAATATAACACCCGAAACAAATCACCAAAAGAAATAAATACTTAAGAAGAAAAATAAACATAATAACGACAAGTAAATAATAAATAAACAGATAAATATATATACATGTAAGAACAGATAATAATTATTGAACAAATTTTTAAATAAATAAATACTTGGGAAAATGAATAAATAATTTAGATAAATAAATGGAATTAATAAATAGAATAAATAAATAGATAAATAAATAATATATTATATTTATGATTTTCCCTTTTTATTTTGCTTCTTTTAAGATTTGAATTTGGGGAGATGGAACCGGTCACCAGCCGGTGGACTCCGTGCCGAAAACTTTTCTGCGCTTAATTATTTTATTTCCCGTCATATGTCCTTCCACACGCCGCTCGTCAACTGGACTGGCTATCAACTATGTTGAT